TGATGAACTTGTTCTACTGTCTCCTACTGAACAAGGACTACAGCTACAACTGGACGTAGTAGAAAAGTACTGTCAGAACTGGGCCCTGGCAGTAAACATGAAGAAAACCAATGTCATGATCTTTCAAAAACGCCCCAGGTGTCATGAGAACAAACACCAATTTACCATCAATAATCATGTCATTGAACACAGCATGAGTTATACCTACCTTGGTATAACCATAACACCATCAGGGAGTTTCAACATAGCAGTGAATGCAGTAAAAGAAAAAGCTTGAAGAGCTCTATATGCAATTAAGAGAACATTTTATAATTTACATATTCCAATAAAAATCTGGCTTAAAAATATTTGATAGTGTCATCCAGTCCATTGCGCTGTACGGTAGTGAAGTATGGGGTCCACTCAGTCATCAGAGCTTTACCCGTTGGGACAAACATCCAACAGAATCTCTACATGCAGAATTCTGCAGATACATTTTACATGTACACAGAAACACACCAACAAATGCATGTAGAGCAGAATTAGGCAGATACCCATTGATAGTTAACATTCAGAAGAGAACGCTCAACTTTTTTAACCGCCTGAAATCCAGCCACAGAGACACCCTCCACTCCAAAGCCCTCCAAACCCAAGAGCTGAGCCCAGAAAAGAGTCCCCTATGTCAGTTGGTACTGAGGCTAACTGCCCCCTCTCAGACACACTCTGACCAGCCTCACAGCAACACTGCTCTACAAACAGTAATCAGAGTAAAGCAAATTATAGCACAATGTAAAGAAAGCTATCTGGACCATTGGGAAGAAACAACTAAAAGCCAAAGTAGACTGGAATATTATTAAAAAATCATGGCAACCTAAAGAAAACAGAAAATGTGGTCACTGTTCGACAGGTGAGGTTGAGACAGAGATGCACTTTCTCCTACAATGTAGAAAATTAAATGATATGAGAAAAATTTATTTGAACAAGTTCAGCTGTTTGATACCAGATTTCAAAGAGCTGAACAACCTCTCCAAATTAAAAATACTCCTCGGAGAAGGAGGCGGGCACACCTTGCTGCCCAGTATGTATTAACATGCCACAACCTGAGGGACAGTGAGTGATCGAGGCACACGCGCACACACACACACACACACACACACACACACACACACACACACACACACACACACACACACTGTATATAACTAATGTAATGTTCATAATGTATATATCTTTCATATTGTGTATTGTCTGAATATTTCAACTTATTGGATTGTATTTTGATGCTTTGCTTTGGCAATATTGTTTTTTAAAAAAAACTTTAATGCCAATAAAGCCCATTTTGAATTTGAATTTGAATTTGAATTGAGAGAGAGAGAGAGAGAGAGAGAGAGAGAGAGAGAGAGAGAGAGAGAAAATGAGGAACTATTAACTGATAAAACTATTGTAATTTATAAAAGAGGAAACTATTGCACCTACTGGGCCTTTAGAGTCTTGTTCATTCTGGTAAATTTTTTGCAGACTTTCATTTTGTCTTTGTCTAGCACCTGTTAAACTGTCAAACTCATCTATTAGTCTGATTTTCAAAAAGCTGCCAGAAACACCAAATACAAGAAAAATAATAAAAAAATAACCTCTTTCTCGACTTATCGAAATATAATTACAATTATGTTCCTATGAAGAACACATGCTCAGTGTCTTCACCGATTAATAAAAAAAGAGATTTATTCTGTGATAACCAAATTAAAATATTTGATCTGTGTTGTGTTTTCAAGATGTAGCTTTTTGGGGATTTACTCTATTTGCAAGAAGAGAAATTTAAAGTTTACCACATGCTCCGGGTCTCCTGAAACATCCTGAGAAAGACCTCTTCTGCCTCCTGACATGTTTTTTAGTGACCTTGTGTAAAATTACACACAAAATGAGCATTATTAGGACAAAACACATTATTTTACACAAGAAAACAAACACATTCTACTGTTTCACTATACAGTTTTAATTTGTAATGTCTGTTTTTGTTTCAGCAACATGTTTGACATTTACACCTTTACAACAGTCCCACTGACACATTTAAAAAGAACAAAAATCGTAACTTTTGCAGCTTGCTCACATTTGACATTTACACTTAAACAATCCAATAAGAAAACGTGTAAACATGTGGATCAAGAACCTTCTTACAACACAAGAAAAGCTCCTTACAGTCACTGACCAGCAGTGGATCTTCATACATGATCAGGAGGAAATTGATATCAATATTTCACTGAAAGTAAAACTTACACGTCTGATAGGGCCACATGCTCCTGGTCGTCCCCAGCAGCCGATCCAACTTTTCGAATTCACTGCTTTTTGTTTCTGTAACAAAAAGAGAATAAACAGTAACCAAAAAACATTATTATACACATTTATACCTTTACAACAATGCCACTGAAGCATTTAAAAAGAACCAAAATCGTAACTTTTGCAGCTTGCTCACATTTGACATTTACACTTAAACAATCCAATAAGAAAACGTGTAAACATGTGGATCAAGAACCTTCTTACAACACAAGAAAAGCTCCTTACAGTCACTGACCAGCAGTGGATCTTCATACATGATCAGGAGGAAATTGATATCAATATTTCACTGAAAGTAAAACTTACACGTCTGATAGGGCCACATGCTCCTGGTCGTCCCCAGCAGCCGATCCAACTTTTCGAATTCACTGCTTTTTGTTTCTGTAACAAAAAGAGAATAAATAGTAACCAAAAAACATTATTATACACATTTATACCTTTACAACAATGCCACTGAAGCATTTAAAAAGAACCAAAATCGTAACTTTTGCAGCTTGCTCAAATTTGACATTTACACTTAAACAATCCAATAAGAAAACGTGTAAATATGTGGATCAAGAACCTTCTTACTACAAAAGAAAAGCTCCTTGCAGTCAGTGACCAGCAGTGGATCTTCATACCTGATAACGAGACAGTTGACCATATCTCACCAGAGCAGCTGCATCAGTAGAAAAGAAGGCAGTGATGAGCAGGAAAGCCTGCAGACCCAACAGGACCAACAGCACAGTTCTGTCCATGGCTGATGAAGTGAAGACAAAGGCAGACAAACATTTACACGACCCAATGTGGACAGAGCGGAAGCAATAACAGGGTGTCGGCAGTGCTGCATTGCTATAAGCGAGATGCAAGTCATGTCTCGGAGATGCAAGTCATTAGCGAGACACTTGCTGATACTAAGTGCTGATATCAAGTATTAAGCTGAATCAGAGTTAGGCAACTTGCGGCTCAGGAGCCACATGTGACACATCATCAGCATCAACTAAAATGTGTGTGTGTGTGTGTGTGTGTGTGTGGGTAGGTGTGTGTGTGTGTGTGTGTGTGTGTGTGTGTGTGTGTGTGTGTGTGTGTGTGTGTGTGTGTGTGTGTGTGTACTGCTTTCCGTCAATGTGACAGTGCTGTGTAGTGTCTGTATGTGTCTGTATGTAAAGCTGTTATATGTATGTAACATTTATTTAAAGAAATAACAATTAGTTGACATATTTGAACACTTTTCAGTACCTTTTCATTGTAGAACTGATTTGTCCATAACAAGTGAATGCTGCAACGGCCTAAATTGATTATTATTATTATCAAACTCTGTTAGCTGCAGCGGTGCCGACTACAAGTGCACTTTACCACGGGCCCATGCCACAGCAGACTGCAGGGGCAAAAAAATAAAGTTAAATAAACAGAGAAAAACGAGTCCCCACAATGTTGGCCCGTCTCTAAGCTAAACTAACTGTCTCCTGGTTCCAGCCTCATATTTAAAGCAACAGTTTTGGTAAAATTGGGTTAAATGCACTTATTCATTTTCTAGCTGAGAGTTAGATGAGAGGAGTGATGTTGCACTCATTCTGTATTTGTACAGTGAATATGAAGCTGCAGCCAGTTAGCTTAGCTTAGCACAACCACTAGGGGCAGGAAAATGGTGGCTAGGTTTAAATACAATCGGACCCCCAGCATCTCTAAAACTCACAAAACACTTACTGTAAACCTTTGTATGGGTTTAAAAAAAACAAGATTTATGGGATTTAGGGGTGCTGGCAGGTAGATTGTATTACCTTTGTACAAAGCCAAGCTGTTTCCCACCGTTTCAAATATTCTAAGATACGTGTGCTAACTTTGTTTTGAGTGTAACAGCAATGTTTTTTTTATAATAACTGAACACTTGCAAGATGGGTGGTAGCTGTTGTAACAGAGCAGTGAACTTAGTGAGGGGAATACATGTTGTTGCATTATCAACCACTTCTATAGAACAATAATGAGGAAGAGTGACAGAAATTAAGCAACTTAGAGGATTAAATACAAGATATATCAAACAGCCATCTCTCTTTCTCTTCCTCTCTTTCACATACTTTGTTTTGAAACTGACCAACACCTACTTTTCAGTATGTTGTAATATGTGCAAAACCTCCATCCATTTGTGGTTAAAAAAACAACCATATTTTACCTGGTTTTGCCAAATACTGAACGAACAGTTGGAGTACCCTATGTCAGGTTTAGGATATGACACTAATATACTTATTTAATTTTAGCTGCAAGTTAGATGAGAAGATTGACACCACTCTTGTGTCCGTACAGTAAACATTAAGTTACTACTAGGAGACGTTAGCTTAACATAAAGACTGGAAACGAGAGGAAACAACTTGGTTCTGTCAAAATACGTAATTCATGCTACAAGTCAGCGTTCACAGAGTCAGCCAACATTAAAATGAAGTAGTAACTTGTTGAGAAATACATTTAACAGATATTAACCATTAACCATACAGAAAACCCATCATGGTAAAAAAATATGTTTATTTAGCAAATAAACACATTAATGCACAGTTGATAAGCACTACAGCATACAGTAGATATTCATTTCCACTCCGTCACATAGTGTTGCAGTTCTGGAAAAGCTTGTTTCAAACTTCTGTTTTTGCACCAGTGAGTTTTCATCATGTCGACACGCTGTCCGTTTTCTTAACATGTAATCTGGGCTTGGGGTTCTTAGCAGGCTTGAATGGATAAAGAGAGAGAGAGAGAGAGAGAGAGAGAGAGAGAGAGAGAGAGAGAGAGATGTACTGTAATTAAAATAACAAACCAATGTACCAACTGTTATCTACCATTTTAGTGATCAGGGTGGGAACCAGAGGGATGTAAGTGACATTTTGGTTAAAAATGACTTAGTAAGGCCTATATATGTATCAAAAAGACTTATAAATTGAATTGATTATAAACCAATCCAGAGTTATTTATCAAAAAGCAAAAGACCTGAACACACTGAATGTGTTTCCTTCTGGAATGGCGCCTGTTACAACAGCTCCTATCATTGTTGTAGTTTTAGTGTGTTTTCAGTGTGTCTTTAGCCTGTGTGTTTTTTTTCTATTTTTAACTGTTTTCTTACTTTCTTACTACTTTTTTACTACTACTTTGTACTTCGTTTTTGAGCACTTTTTATTTTTTGTTTGCACAAGTCTCCATGGCATTGTTTACACCTGCGACCAGATGATTGCCCTGAGGCACCCGAGCATCCTGACTGGACACCCTCCATACCGGAGGAGCTGAGGAGACGGCGAGGCTGCAGAGTGGGGGTTAAACGGAGGATGAAGAAGAGGAGGTTTAAACTCTTCATCCCTGCAGTCATCACTGGAAACAAACGTGGCTACACGAGCAGACGTCACCATGCCCGGCTCCCAGACGGTTCGAGCCGACTGTTTTTTATATCTGTAGCCTATTTATTTCACTCAAATGTTGCCGTGACAAGTGAATTTCCCCATTGTGGGATTAATAAAGTTATATATCTAGGCTATCTATCTATTTGAGGTGAAGTGCACTTAAAAGTCAAAATATTGCTTGTTAAGTATTTCCATTCATATATTTATGATGTTTTCAATATCAAAGATTGAATTTAATAAAGAAAATCAACACAGTTTTTATGTTTGGGCTCTCCTGTAGGTCAAATGTCCCTTACACCACATTGAGATATCACAATTTCACTCAAGGTGAAGCAAGCTTACCCGTATGAAAGGTCCACATGCTCCTGGTCTTCCCCCACAGCTCCGAAATGTCTTCTTCATTCCTTTTTTGCAGTTCCATCCTGAAACAAAATTTAAACAAACAAAGAATTATTATACACAGAAAACAACCTTCTCCTGCTTTGTAATCTCCTAATTTAAAAACATTTAAACAGAACCAAAATTGTAAGTTTTGCAGCTCACTCATATTTGACATTTACACTCAAACAATCCAATAAGAAAACGTGAACATGTGGATCAAGAACCTTCTTACAACACAAAAAAAGCTCCTTGAAGTCACTGACCAGCAGTGGATCTTCTTTCCTGATCAGGAGGAAGTTGATATCAATATTTCACTGAAAGTAAAACTTACCCGTGAGATAGTGCCACATGCTCCTGGTCTTCCCAGGCAGCCGTTCCATCTTCTCGAATTCACTGGTTTTCTTCCCTGTAACAAAAAGAGAATAAACAATAAACAAAAAGCATTATCATACACGGAAAGCCACTTTCTTCAGTCAGTGACCAGCAGTGGATCTTTTTACCTGATCAGGAGGAAGTCCATCATCTGTCACCAGAGCGGCTGCATCAGTAGAAGTGAAGGCAGTGATGAGCAGGAAAACCTGCAGACACAACAGGACCAGGAGCACACCTTTTTTCATGGTTGATGAAGTGAAGAGTTTGAAACACACACAGGTCATAATATACTCACTGCGAACCAACCACATGCATGGAAGAAGAGGAAGCAACATCGCTGCTTTACATCATCAGAAAGACGTCAGAGGGAAATTAAACAGAAATTTTATAATTGCTTGTGGTTTTAAACAGAATACTTACAACACCTTTGCATCAGGGACCAAATTTGAATACATAATAAATGATGCAACCATCAATGTGAATGTCACATTTATAAATCAATATAAAAAATCTTAGTTGAAATTACACAAGAGTGAGCTAGAAATAATAATACTCAGACATACTAATCAGTTTACCTTTCTTGGTGTGTGAGCCAAACAAACACAAAAACCTTTTGTTATATATGTATTTTTGGGGAGCTTTAAGCCTTTTATTGGCAAGGACGGGACTGAAGATTGACAGGAAAGGTGGGGAGGGAGAGGGGATTACACGCAGCACGGGGCCACAAATCAGATTGAAGTCTTCTCGAAATATCTCGCTCCCGGCACTGCGAGGGTCAACTCTCTCTCTACATGCCAACAGACTGATTATTAATCCAACTGTGGGTCAGACTCTGAGAATGTGGATCCAGTTCAGGAGAAACAAGTTCCCAAAAGCCTTTTTTAAAGAAACTTCTCCCAAGGTCCCTCTAAGCACCTTTTTATCCCATCCATGCAATATGTAACATACCAGGATTAGCACCTATTTATATATTCACTAACAACGACCACGCCATCAAATGTATGAGATAAGAAAAGTTTATTGCACATAATGAACAAATGTGAACCAATGTGGTATACTGAGCGATGAGGGGTGAAGGGATTAGGGATGAAGTGATGAGGGATGGAGGTAGGTTTGAGGGATGAGGGATGGATGGAGGTCGGAGGAATGAAGGTTGGAGGAATGAAGGTCGGTTGGCGGATCGATGAATGGATGGAGGGGTTCGGCGCGATGTAAGAGGGAACTGAGTGGGTTGCGAGACACTGAGTGGGGGAACTGTCTCTTCGTATCTCTTGTAGAGAGCCCCAGTGGTTCCTATATTTGGATAAGAGAGGGAGAGAAAAAGAAAGGGCTTGGGTGGGAGGGATGTTGGAAATGAGTCAAGGAGGGAGTGAACGGATAAGGTGTGCTTAAGCAAGTTTGAGCGGAAATGGGATGATTGCAGGGCGTGGTCTTTGTTCCCGAACCTAGTTATAAAACATCATGTATCTGCTGTCTGTGATATAATATCAGGCCTGAAATCTGTCCCTTTAACTAGAATAAAGGCAGTCAGGAAAAGACAAAGCTGACTTATTTTTTGTAATACTTCCAAGGTGAAAGTAGCAAGAGACATGTAGTTCAAAGTTCAATTGTGAATGTTAGTTATATATTAGATGTCTTGTTAAAGATTGTATATTGGTTGCCAGTGGACCAATAAACGGTTGTAATTTGGTTGCTAGGTGATCAGGGACACAGATTACTGTTACTATTATTATCTGTTTTGTATGAGTTTAGCTGAAAAAAGTCACAAGTCATCCATTTCTCAACAGCAGTGAAGCACTCCATTAAACTGACCAGAGATCCATCTTAAAGGACATATGATCAGCATAGCAGTGATAGGAGACCCCATTAAAATGACTCCTAGTGGAAGCATATAAAGGAAAAAGAAAATGGGACCAAGAATAGATCCCTGTGGCACATCAGTGGATCTGAAGATGAAACATAATTACTGATCAAATCAGATTTAAGAACAGTTCTGGATATACTCAAGCACCAATGTAGTCTATTGATAAGAATGTTACGATCAATGGTATCAAATGCAGCACTGAGTTCAAGGAGCATTAATATAAAACATTCCTCAGCATCTGCAGACAAAGTAAATTGTTTGTAATCCTAATGAGAGCAGTTGCTGTACTGTGACGTAGGCGAAACCCAGACTGAAACAAAAATGTTTTATTGTCTCACAAAGCTAAGAGTTGAGTTAGTACCACCTTTATATATATATATATTAAAACATATCTTTTTACTCTCCTCTCCAAAACTTAGCCAACTTTCTTCTTCTTCTTCATGTCTTTCGGGTCTGGTCCCACAGGACTGGTCCATCCCTCAGGTCGGGTCCCCCTAGTGGCCTGGCGCACTTCTGTTTTGTCGAGTGAATTTGCGGCGTTTATCTGTTGGAGTTGTTTTGTTGTTTTGTGTGTTTTTTGTATTTGCAGCATTTTTCTTTGGCAGTTGTTTTGTGGGTTTGTAAGTTTTTGCTTCTGCTTCGTTTCTGCGATTGGAGCATTTTTCTGTTGCTGCGTTTTTCTGTTGTATTTGTTTTTATGTGTTTGTGTGTTTTTGGTTTTGCATCATTCCCGTGTTTGCAGCGTTTTGCCGTTTGCGGCACATTTGCCCATTTGCAGTGCGTTTGCCCTTTTCGGCCACCGTACCTATTTATTTAATTTTAGCTGCAAGTTAGATGAGAAGATTGACACCACTCTTGTGTCCGTACAGTAAACATTAAGTTACAACTAGGAGACATTAGCTTAGCTTGACATAAAGACTGGAAACGAGAGGAAACAACTTGGTTCTGTGAAAATACGTCATTCTTGCCTCATGCTTCAAGTCAGCGTTCACAGAGTCAGCCAACATTAAAATGAAGTATTAACTTAAATAAATTTAACAGATATTAACCATTAACCATACAGAAAACCCATCATGGTAAAAAAATATGTTTATTTAGCAAATAAACACATTAATGCACAGTTGATAAGCACTACAGCATACAGTAGATATTCATTTCCACTCCGTCACATAGTGTTGCAGTTCTGGAAAAGCTTGTTTCAAACTTCTGTTTTTGCACCAGTGAGTTTTCATCATGTCGACGCACTGTCCGTTTTCTTAACATGTAATCTGGGCTTGGGGTTCTTAGCAGGCTTGAATGGGATAAAGAGAGAGAAGAGAGAGAGAGGAGAGAGAGAGAGAGAGAGAGAGAGAGAGAGAGAGAGAGATGTACTGTAATTTAAATAACAAACCAATGTACCAACTGTTATCTACCATTTTAGTGATCAGGGTGGAAACCAGACTTTTACACTCAAACAATCCAATAAGAAAACATCAAGAACCTTCTTACAACAAAAGAAAAGCTTCTTGCCTATATATGTATCAAAAAGACTTATAAATTGAATTGATTATAAACCAATCCAGAGTTATTTATCAAAAAGCAAAAGACCTGAACACACTGAATGTGTTTCCTTCTGGAATGGCGCCTGTTACAACAGCTCCTATCATTGTTGTAGTTTTAGTGTGTTTTCAGTGTCTTTAGCCTGTGTGTTTTTTTTTCTATTTTTAACTGTTTTCTTACTTTCTTACTACTTTTTTACTACTACTTTGTACTTCGTTTTTGAGCACTTTTTATTTTTTGTTTGCACAAGTCTCCATGGCATTGTTTACACCTGCGACCAGATGATTGCCCTGAGGCACCCGAGCATCCTGACTGGACACCCTCCATACCGGAGGAGCTGAGGAGACGGCGAGGCTGCAGAGTGGGGGTTAAACGGAGGATGAAGAAGAGGAGGTTTAAACTCTTCATCCCTGCAGTCATCACTGGAAACAAACGTGGCTACACGAGCAGACGTCACCATGCCCGGCTCGCAGGCGGTTCGAGCCGACAGGGACACCACCGCGACCGGCAAGAAGAAGGGACTTGCTCATAAACAACAGGTGGTGTAACCTTGGGCACGTCTGTGTGAAAGAGCGTGTCTGCGGCCCGGGCATCGAGCTTGTCGTCGTCGGACTTTGTTCATATTATCTGCCACGGGAACTTTCCAGTGTTATCGCCATCACTGTCTATATTCATCACAGTGGTCTTCATCATCATCATCACTGTCTATATTCCTCCGTCTGGGAAAGCAGAAGCAGCGTGTGACGTCATCCACACTGTGACTGCAGGACTACGAAACGAAACACCCGGAGGCCTTCATCATCATCATCATCACAGGGGACTTCAACCACGTTTCTCTCTCGTCCGCACTCCCAACCTTCCACCAGTTTGTCACATGCACCACCAGAGACAATAAGACCTTGGTCCTGCTATTTGCAAATGTTCCTGTTTTTTTTTTTATATCTGTAGCCTATTTATTTCACTCAAATGTTGCTGTGACAAGTGAATTTCCCCATTGTGGGATTAATAAAGTTATATATCTAGGCTATCTATCTATTTGAGGTGAAGTGCACTTAAAAGTCAAAATATTGCTTGTTAAGTATTTCCATTCATATATTTATGATGTTTTCAATATCAAAGATTGAATTTAATAAAGAAAATCAACACAGTTTTTATGTTTGGGCTCTCCTGTAGGTCAAGTGTCCCTTACACCACATTGAGATATCACAATTTCACTCAAGGTGAAGCAAGCTTACCTGTATGAAAGGACCACATGCTCCTGGTCTTCCCAAGCAGCCGTTCCAACTTCTCGAATTCACTGGTTTTCTTCCCTGTAACAAAAAGAGAATAAACAATAAACAAAAAGCATTATTTTACACGGAAAACCACTTTCTTCAGTCAGTGACCAGCAGTGGATCTTCTTACCTGATCAGGAGGAAGTCCATCATCTCTCACCAGAGCGGCTGCATCAGTAGAAGTGAAGGCAGTGATGAGCAGGAAAACCTGCAGACACAACAGGACCAGCAGAACACCTTTGTTCATGGTTGATGAAGTGAAGAGTTTGAAACACACACAGGTCATAATATACTCACTGCCAACCAACCACATGCATGGAAGAAGAGGAAGCAACAACGCTGCTTTACATCATCAGAAAGACGTCAGAGAGAAATTAAACAGAAATTTTATAATTGTGGTTTTAAACAGAATACTTACAACACCTTTGCATCAGGGACCAAATTTGAATAAATAATAAATGATGCAACCATCAATGTGAATGTCACATTTATAAATCAATTTAAATCTTAGTTAAAATTACACAAGAGTGAGCTAGAAATAATAATACTCAGACATACTAATCAGTTTACCTTTCTTGGTGTGTGAGCCAAACAAACACAAAAACCTTTTGTTAGATATATATTTTTGGGGAGCTTTAAGCCTTTTATTGGCAAGGACGGGACTGAAGATTGACAGGAAAGGTGGGGAGAGAGAGAGGGGATTACACGCAGCACGGGGCCACAAATCAGATTGAAGTCTTCTCGAAATATCTCGCTCCCGGCACTGCGAGGGTCAACTCTCTCTCTACATGCCAACAAACTGATTATTAATCCAACTGTGGGTCAGACTCTGAGAATGTGGATCCAGTTCAGGAGAAACAAGTTCCCAAAAGCCTTTTTTAAAGAAACTTCTCCCAAGGTCCCTCTAAGCACCTTTTTATCCCATCCATGCAATATGTAACATACCAGGATTAGCACCTATTTATATATTCACTAACAACGACCACGCCATCGAATGTATGAAATAAGAAAGGTTTATTGCACATAATGAACAAATGTGAACCAATGTGGTATACTGAGGGATGAGGGGTGAAGGGATTAGGGATGAAGTGATGAGGGATGGAGGTAGGTTCGAGGGATGAGGGATGGATGGAGGTCGGAGGAATGAAGGTTGGAGGAATGAAGATCAGTTGGCGGATCGATGAATGGATGGAGGGGTTCGGCGCGATGTCAAAGGGAACTGAGTGGGTTGCGAGACACTGAGTGGGGGAACTGTCTCTTCGTATCTCTTGTAGAGAGCCCCAGTGGTTCCTATATTTGGATAAGAGAGGGAGAGAAAAAGAAAGGGTTTGGGTGGGAGGGATGTGGGAAATGAGTCAAGGAGGGAGTGAACGGATTAGGTGTGCTTAAGCAAGTTTGAGCGGAAATGGGATGATTGCAGGGCGTGGTCTTTTTTCCCGAACCTAGTTATAAAACATCATGTATCTGCTGTCTGTGATATAATATCAGGCCTGAAATCTGTCCCTTTAACTAAAATAAAGGCAGTCAGGAAAAGACAAAGCTGAATTATTTTTTGTAATACTTCCAAGGTGAAAGTAGCAAGAGACATGTGGTTCAAAATTCAATTGTGAATATTAGTTATATATTAGATGTCTTGTTAAAGATTGTATATTGGTTGCCAGTGGACCAATAAACGGTTGTAATTTGGTTGCTAGGTGATCAGGGACACAGATTATTACTGTTATTATTATCTGTTTTGTATGAGTTTAGCTGAAAAAAGTCACAAGTCATCCATTTCTCAACAGCAGTGAAGCACTCCATTAAACTGACCAGACATTCATCTTAAAGGACATATGATCAGCATTGCAGTGATAGGAGACCCCATTAAAATGACTCCTAGTGGAAGCATATAAAGGAAAAAGAAAATGGGACCAAGAATAGATCCCTGTGGCACATCAGTGGATCTGAAGATGAAACATAATTACTGATAAAATCAGATTTAAGAACAGTTCTGGATATACTCAAGCACCAATGTAGTCTATTGATAAGAATGTTACGATCAATGGTATCAAATGCAGCACTGAGTTCAAGGAGCATTAATATAAAACATTCCTCAGCATCTGCAGACAAAGTAAATTGTTTGTAATCCTAATGAGAGCAGTTGCTGTACTGTGACGTAGGCGAAAGCCAGACTGAAACAAAAATGTTTTATTGTCTCACAAAGCTAAGAGTTGAGTTAGTACCACCTTTATATATATACAGTATATTAAAAATAGGCCTATAATTCTGTGCAAGATTAGACTTTTTTAAAGATCCCTTCCACACACTCAAATGTATTTTTCTTATGATTTATGTCCCCTAAAATGTTTGACCTGTACTGACTTGTGTCTGTGCAAAGTTGGTCAATACAGAGATTTTCACATCCTTCTGCTGAAGGGGGAGAGATGTCAGTTCACTTCCCCTAAAATCTGACATTCAGACGTGAACTGGGCAAGATAGATTTCTAACAAATCTGCCTAGAAAATGCCACGAGTGAGAAAGGACGCGAGAGAAATTACACAAACTAATCAATTACAAATATAGGGAGATTCAGCTCATGTAAGGGATGATGACAGGATGTAGGTTTGTCATGTCTTTAGAGTGCTCAAACAATTGCAATGTGAAACCAAAACTAACCAGATCAAATATATAATGTTAACCTTTTAGTTGTGAAACAGCCCTAAAAAAGACATTAACTATAGACTGATGAACCACAACCTCACCATCGACACTAGTCATTACAGACAAACCTGGCAACCAAGAGAAAACACACTGTCAACAAGAAGTGGAGACAGAGCAACACTTACTGCTGCACTGCAGTCTGGGTAAAGATGTTTATCTTTGTTTATCTTTGTAAAGTTGTTTATCATCATTCATCATCATTGTCATCTGTATCATTTGACATATTTTTAAACCAAATATTATTCAGTATTTAGGCCTTTGATTGATACAGTTGATACTACTTTAACTGGCTCAGGGGCCTCAAAATGGGAAACTTTTATTGTTAAATATTAATAGTTAAAGCCTGGTGTGGTGGTAATTAGGAACATATTAGGAACATAAAGCACATTTGCAACCAGTGTTGACAGCAGTCTGCTGTTGAAGATTTAGTTTACCAACAAAAACTGTGCAGAAAACCACACAATATCTGATTTGAAATCTTTTATTTTGCAAACAAACAAATCATAGCACACTTCATTTTTAGCATTACAGCATACAGCATATTCATTTCCCCTTTTAATCGTAGCAAGGCAGTTCTGGAAAAGCTTGTTTCAAACTTCTGTTGATCAAGTTTCATGTTGACGAACTCTTTATTTCCTTGACAAATTTAAATTGGGTTTTTCAGGAGAGATCGAGGGCTAAAAAGTAGGAGAGAGAGAGAGAGAGAGAGAGAGAGAGAGAGAGAGACAGAGGTACAGTAATTTAAATAACATACTAATGCAACAAATGTTATCTACCTTTTTAATTATGAGTACATTGATATCAACATTTCACTGAAAATAAAACTTACTTGTATAGGGCCACATGCTCCTGGTCTTCCCCAGCAGGCGATCCAACTTCTCGAATTCACTGGTTTTCTTCCCTGTAACAAAAAGAGAATAAACGATAAACAAAAAGCATTATTATACATGGAAAACCCCTTTCTCCCGTCTCTGACCCGCTGTGGATATTCTCACCTGATCAAGAGGAAGATGATCATCTTTTACCAGAGTGGCTGCATCAGTAGAGGTGAAGGCTGTGATGAGCAGGAAAGCCTGCAGACACAACAAGATCAGCACAGTTTTCTCCATGGCTGATGAAGTGAAGAGTTTAAAAACAAACATGTCCTAATATACTCTCTGCCAACCAATCACACGAGGCCACAGGATACCACCACTTTACAAGATCAGAAACACGTCAGAGGGATTTTTAAGGAACCACATCTCCACAATAACATGAAAACAACTCAAGTCCTTGGGGGGGGTTTATAGAAGTGAAAACTATTTATTGACTTGGTTACATTAAAGGACCGGTGTGTAGAAGATTGCAACTAACTGAATACTGCTGGCATTTGTATTTTGTCTGTTCTGGGCTACTGTAGAAAAGTGAGTGGAATACATGTTGTTGCATTATCAATCACTTCTATAGGACAATAATGAGGAAGCGTTAAAAAGACATAACGGAAACTTATCTTTTTACTCTCCTCTCAAAAACTTAGCCAACTTTCTTCTTCTTCTTCATGTCTTTCGGGTCTGGTCCCACAGGACTGTTCCATCCCTCAGGTCGGGTCCCCCTAGTGGCCTGGCGCACTTCTGTTTTGTCGAGTGAATTTGCAGCATTTATCTGTTGGAGTTGTTTTGTTGTTTTGTGTGTTTTTGGTATTTGCAGCATTTTTCTTTGGCAGTTCTTTTGTGGGTTTGTAAGTTTTTGCTTCTGCTTCGTTTCTGTGATTGGAGCATTTTTCTGTTGCTGCGTTTTTCTGTTGCATTTGTTTTTATGTGTTTGTGTGTTTTTGGTTTTGCATCATTCCCGTGTTTGCAGCGTTTTGCCGTTTGCGGCCGTTTGCCCTTGACGGCCACTGTACCTATTTATTTAATTTTAGCTGCAAGTTAGATGAGAAGATTGACACCACTCTTGTGTCCGTACAGTAAACATTAAGTTACAACTAGGAGACATTAGCTTAGCTTGACATAAAGACTGGAAACGAGAGGAAACAACTTGGTTCTGTGAAAATACGTCATTCTTGCCTCATGCTTCAAGTCAGCGTTCACAGAGTCAGCCAACATTAAAATGAAGTATTAACTTGTTAAAAATACATACATTTAACAGATATTAACCATTAACCATACAGAAAACCCATCATGGTAAAAAAATATGTTTATTTAGCAAATAAACACATTAATGCACAGTTGATAAGCACTACAGCATACAGTAGATATTCATTTCCACTCCGTCACATAGTGTTGCAGTTCTGGAAAAGCTTGTTTCAAACTTCTGTTTTTGCACGAGTGAGTTTTCATCATGTCGACGCGCTGTCCGTTTTCTTAACATGTAATCTGGGTTTGGGATTCTTAGCAGGCTTGGAGGGATAAACAGAGAGAGAGAGAGAGAGAGAGAGAGAGAGAGAGAGAGAGAGAGAGAGAGAGAGAGAGAGAGATGTACTGTAATTTAAATAACAAACCAATGTACCAACTGTTATCTACCATTTTAGTGATCAGGGTGGAAACCAGAGGGGTATAAGTGACATTTTGGTTAAGAATGAGTTAGTAAGGCCTAGATATGTATCAAAAAGACTTGTGTGAATTATAAACCAATCCAGAGTTATTTATCAAAAAGCAAAAGACCTGAACACACTGAATTATTTGAGGTGAAGTGCACTTAAAAGTCAAAATATTGCTCTTTAAGTATATAGTTAAGTACATATTTATGAAGTTTTCAATATCAAAGATTGAATTTCATAAACACCACAACAGCGTTTTTTTTCCCTTACAACACATTGAGATATCACAATTTCTCTCAAGGTAAAGCAAGCTTACCCGTATGAAAAGACCACATCCTCCTATTCTTCCCCTACAGCTCCGAAATGTCTTCTTCATTCCTTTCTCTGCAGTTCCATCCTGAAACAAAATTTAAACAAACAAATAATTATTATACACAGAAATACCACCTTCTCCTGCTTTGTTATCTCCTAATTTAAAACATTTAAACAGAACCAAAATTGTAAGTTTTGCAGCTTGCTCATATTTGACATTTACACTCAAACAATCCAATAAGGAAACATCAAGAACCTTCTTACAACAAAAGAAAAGCTTCTTGCAGTCACTGACCAGCAGTGGATCTTTTTACCTGATCAGGAGGAAGTCCATCATCTGTCACCAGAGCGGCTGCATCAGTAGAAGTGAAGGCAGTGATGAGCAGGAAAACCTGCAGACACAACAGGACCAGCAGCACACCTTTGTTCATGGTTGATGAAGTGAAGAGTTTGAAACACTCACAGGTCTTAATATACTCACTGCCAACCAACCACATGAGGCAACAGGATACCACCACTTTACAAGATCACAAACACGTCAGAGGGATTTTTAAGGAACCAAATCTCCACAATAACATGAAAACAACTCAAGTCCTTGGGGGGTTTTATAGAAGTGAAAACTATTTATTGACTTGGTTACATTAAAGGACCGGTGTGTAGAAGATTGCAACTAACTGAATACTGCTGGCATTTGTATTTTGTCTGTTCTGGGCTACTGTAGAAACATGGCAGTCCAAGTGAGTGGAATACATGTTGTTGCATTATCAATCACTTCTATAGGACAATAATGAAGAAGCGTGACAGAAATTAAGCAACTTAGAGGATTAAATACAAGATATATCAAACAGCCATCTCTCTTTCTCTTCCTGTCTTTCACATACTTTGTTTTGAAACTGACCAACACCTACTTTTCATTATGTTGTAATATGTGCAAAACCTCCATCCATTTGTGATTTAAAAAAACAACAACCATATTTTACCTGGTTTTGCCAAATACGGCGCGAACAGTTTAAGTACCCTATGTCAGGTTTAGGATATGACACTAATATACTTATTTAATTTTAGCTGCAAGTTAGATGAGAAGATTGACACCACTCTTGTGTCCGTACAGTAAACATTAAGTTACTACTAGGAGACGTTAGCTTAACATAAAGACTGGAAACGAGAGGAAACAACTTGGTTCTGTCAAAATACGTAATTCATGCTACAAGTCAGCGTTCACAGAGTCAGCCAACATTAAAATGAAGTAGTAACTTGTTGAGAAATACATTTAACAGGTATTAACCATTAACCACACAGAAAACCAACAGTAAAAAAATATGTTTATTTAGCAAATAAGAGAGAGAGAGAGAGAGAGAGAGAGAGAGAGAGAGAGAGAGAGAGAGAATGTACTGTAATTAAAATAACAAACCAATGTACCAACTGTTATCTACCATTTTAGTGATCAGGGTGGGAACCAGAGGGATGTAAGTGACATTTTGGTTAAAAATTAGTTAGTAAGGCCTATATATGTATCAAAAAGACTTATTTTTAATTATAAACCAATCCAGGGTTATTTATCAAAAAGCCAAAGACCTGAACACAATTATTTGAGGTGAAGTGCACTTAAAAGTCTAAATATTGCTTCTTAAGTATTTCCATTCATATATTTATGAAGTTTTCAATGTCAAAGATTGAATTTAATAAACACAATCAACACAGTTTTTAATCTCCTAATTAATAATAGAATCACTGAAACATTTAAACAGAACCAAAATTGTAAGTTTTGCAGCTCGCTCATATTTGACATTTACACTGAAAACAATCCAATAAGAAAACATCAAGAACCTTCTTACAACAAAAGAAAAGCTTCTTGCAGTCACTGACCAGCAGTGGATCTTCTTACCTGATCAGGAGGAAGTCCATCATCTGTCACCAGAGCGGCTGCGTCAGTAGAAGTGAAGGCAGTGATGAGTAGGAAAACCTGCAGACACAACAGGACCAGCAGAACACCTTTGTTCATGGTTGATGAAGTGAAGAGTTTGAAACACACACAGGTCATAATATACTCACTGCGAACCAACCACATGCATGGAAGAAGAGGAAGCAACAACGCTGCTTTACATTATCAGAAAGACGTCAGAGAGAAATTAAACAGAAATGTTATGATTGCTTGTGGTTTTAAACAGAATACTTACAACACCTTTGCATCAGGAACCAAATTTAAATAAATAATAAATGATGCAACCATCAATATGAATGTCACATTTATAAATCAATTTAAATCTTAGTTGAAATTACACAAGAGTGAGCTAGAAATAATAATACTCAGACATACTAATCAGTTTACCTTTCTTGGTGTGTGAGCCAAACAAACACAAAAACCTTTTGTTAGATATATATTTTTGGGGAGCTTTAAGCCTTTTATTGGCAAGGACGGGACTGAAGATTGACAGGAAAGGTGGGGAGAGAGAGAGGGGATTACACGCAGCAGGGGGCCACAAATCAGATTGAAGTCTTCTCGAAATATCTCGCTCCCGGCACTGCGAGGGTCAACTCTCTCTCTACATGCCAACAGACTGATTATTAATCCAACTGTGGGTCAGACTCTGAGAATGTGGATCCAGTTCAGGAGAAATCCTGGGTTCCAACTTTCTTCTATTACAAGTTCCCAAAAGCCTTTTTTAAAGAAACTTCTCACAAGGTCCCTCTAAGCACCTTTTTATCCCATCCATGCAATATGTAACATACCAGGATTAGCACCCATTTATATAATATCTGCTGTCTGTGATATAATATCAGGCCTGAAATCTGTTCCTTTAACTAAATAAAGGCAGTCAGAAAAAGACAAAGCTGATTTATTTTTTTTTATATTTCCCAGGTGAAAGCATCAAGAGACATGTGGTTCAAAGTTCAATTGTGAATGTTAGTTATATAGTTGATTTCTTGTTAAAGATTTTATATTGGTTTTTATATCGGTTGTAATTTGGTTGCTTGGTGATCAGGGAAACAGATTATTACTGTTGTTATTATCTGTTTTGTCTGAGTTTAGCTGAAAAAAGTTACAAGTCATCCATTTCTCAACAACTGTGAAGCACTCCATTAAACTGACCAGACATCCGTCTTAAAGGACATATGATCAGCATAGCAGTGATAGGAGACCCCATTAAAATGACTCCTAGTGGAAGCATATAAAGGAAAAACAAAATGGGACCAAGAATAGATCCCTGTGGCACATCAGTGGAAAATTAAGAACATTTCTGGATATACTCAAGGACTGATGTAGTCTATTGATAAGAGCGTTACGATCAATGGTATTAAATGCAGCACTGAGGTCAAGGAGCATTAA